ATAGTTGTATATTTTAAATAGCTTATTTATTTAAATTGTGATAACTAAGAAATTTTAAAGAGGTCAAAATTATAATTGCAGTTACAATTAGAATCTACTTATTAATATTAGCTTAAGGATTATTACTAACTTATAACATCCAAATTCTAGATTTTTGAGATCTTTAGACTTTAAAACTACTGCTAAATTTAAATAGAAGAATTACTCTTAGCAATAAATATTATTATATTCCTATTATTACTAACATCAATCAAAATTACTATGATTTTTGCCTGTTAATAGAATATTTTACACATAATTAAAAGGCTTAAGATGAAATAACCTTATAAGACTTATACTTTAAGAGTTACTATTTTTATATAGAATTTAAAAAGATAGGTGACTATCATATCTATATTATTAAATATACTTAGAAACTGAATTGATTACTATAGTTTAATTAGAAAATACTATAATTATATAATGCAGTTTATTATTATTATAACCCTTGTAAAGCTAAAACTATTATTTATAGATTTTAAAATTTTATATCTAAATAAATAAATACTTTTTAAATAGAAATCCTATACATTTTTTTCTTTTTTATAAAAAAATTGGATTTTAAAAGATCATGATGATAAAAGTTAAAAAAAATCCAACCAGATATTTTCTAATTACCAATAAATAATATTATCATGTTCACTTATATGATGTAGATTATTTTGTTTTTTAATATTTTTTGTGATATTATAGAGTTTATACTAATAAATAAACTATAAATAATACTTATTTTTATACTTTATTATGTTAAGTAACTTGTTTCTATTTTCAACCTAATAAAATAATATAAGTAAATATGGAATTTTGTGTTAATTGTTAAAAGTTTTCAAGAAATTCTATTATCTAATTTTAGTTTAGATTTTAAATTTTAAAATTTTTGGTAATCAAATTATAAGAATTTCTGAGCTAAAGATCATTGTTTTCTAAGGGGACTAATTAATATATATCTCAAAAAACTTTTTCTAATGAGTAGATAATTTATTTTTTTTCACTTTTTGCGATATCAATTTAATTATATGGAATAGGATACCTATAAAATTAATTAAATTTTTATCATTTTTTTGAATATCATTTGGTATTTGTAGTAATTGACAAAAAAGATCTTTTTATTGTTGTAGTATTTATGGTTTAATTTCATCTTTCAAAATTAAGGATAATAATAATAATAAAAAAAAAATCATAATTATCAAAGATGTATTATCATTAAAAAATTGCAATATTTTGAATATAGTTTTTAGCATATAAATGTTGCAATTTGTCTTCTATTATATATTAATAAATTTGTTTAGGTTTTCTTTTCATTAGTTTTTTTAAAAGTATAATTGCCTAAAAATAAAGATTTGTTATTTATCTTATCACAAAAAAAGTAAACAAATTTATTTTTTTTTTTGTGATTCTTAAAAATAGTTCTTTCATTTTTTTAAAAAAATTTAGTATAATTAAAAGAGAATTATAATGAACTTCTTTTCATAATTTTTAAGTTATCACATGATAATATCATTATTATGCTTACGTTGATAAATAATCAAATCTAACTGATTATCATTATGAATAGAACAATAATTTTGATATTAATCATTGCAAAGCACAATAACTTAAAATTAAAGTAATCAATGTTAATTTGATCATTTTTGATTTTCTTAAATAGAAAAAAGAGGTCTTTTAGTTCACAAAATTGATTAAATTAAATATTACCTTAATTGGAAGTTAATAGAAATCGATTTTAACGATCGACCCTATTGCCTGACCCAGTAAGGTCTGATGATACTGACCCGAGGATTACCAATAAATTATAGAGATCCTAAGAATCATTGCCAAATTTGGATAGAGGGTAAATTCATGATCATCAAATTGTAATTTAGAAATCTATATACTGCAAGGGATTATTATAGTATTGTTAAGATTATAAAAAAGATTAAAGTTCCAAATATGAGAAATTTTCCGAATATAATTGAATATTACAAAAATCTTTGTAGCTTCATCGATCAATTCATCCATTTGTAAATTTTAACTATTGATTTTTTATTGCACAGAATATCATAATCGAAAAAAGTGGCAAAAAAAAAATTTTGTTATCGATACCTTGAAAAAAGTAACATTTACAAATGAAATGTACACCTGTATTTACTTTTCGTGCAGAATTTTCAATTCGTAAGAGTAAAATGAAGTTCATACATTAGAATCCTACATAATCATTAATTTCATTAATAATTACACCGCCAAAATGACTTTAGGCCGTGGCAAATCACAGACTCTTTGGCCCGTTATATACCTTACAGAAAAAAATAATCTTATGAATTGTGTTTTTGGTATTATAAAAAAAAAAAAGTGTTTGAAATTAATAATTGCTGGTAAGTATTAGTTAAATTAAATATATTTGATGTATTAAAATATGATTGAAGGGACACATAATCACTTTTAGTGCATGATTTTGGAATATTCAATACATCTAGTTACAATTTATTAAACATTAAAGAATCTCTATAAACTTGTTCTCTTTGCAAAAATATCATTTAAATTGCCGCATGAAAATTTGTGTTACATAATTTAAAAATTTCAAGACTCCGGGTTATTATCCTAGACCCCGTGTATAAATAAAATTTTTTTAAGTACTTATCACGTGGTATGTACAGTTGCGGTCTAGGATAAAAGCCTGACCCGGACAGAGAAACGCACGTGACCGAAAAATTTTCACGTTGCGTAGACTTTCGCTTCGCTCAGGACAAATAAGCGCTTGCTATCGTAGATTCCTACTAAAGTGGCCCGAGTTAAAGATTAGCCGTGCAGGTTAACGCCTATTATTATCATGTGATATGTTAATTGAACGCGTTTAATATCACATTCGGAAATGATCGGCAGTTGTTTACATAAATTACGGGCTTATGAACTATTTTTTATTTTTTATTTTTTTATTTTTTTTTATTTCTAACATTCCTGATGATGTCTCGACTCGTAATGTCACTTTTTTATTATCGAACGATATTACTATTTTTATTATATCTTTATAGTGCTCTTTTCAACATCTATGATGTTATTACCGAAATTTTGGTGAGACGGTATATTTATAGAGAGGAATATTAAAACTAAAACTTCTATTGTTTACAAATAACTACATTTTTGATTGTGAATATCAAACCGTGGCAAATTGAAAAATTTTCAGGTAACAGATTTTTTATTTGAAAGTTGATATTGTTCGGCATACCGATTCTAAACATGTGTCAAACATTCCTTTAAACGTTCGTTTCACATGAACAATATATAAGTTGAAAGAGAAGTATGTATGTTGTGAGAAACCAATTGTCGAGGGCGTGTTTTATCATCCGAATTGTTCGTATGGTAAGTTGCATATTGTTTTCTTTGCATGATTAACCTTTTAACAATTAACTTACTAACTCTTAAAAATTTTTATAAAGACGCCAAAATTACAACAAAATATTTATCACTCAGGATATGATGTCACCAAGAATAATTAAACCCAAAGTATAATCATGCGCATTGTTTTTGTATTTTTTTTTTTTTTTTTAAAAAAAAATATACATCAACTAACTACAAAAGGCGAAGAGGAAATGAACTTATCGTGTTTACACATAATTGGAGATTTGTTCAAAAAATATTTTTTTATTAAGATTAATCGAAGATAATGTAATTAATAACTGAATGTATTGTCACCTAAAATTTCATAATAAAGATATATTGTTTCTATTCTATCACAACTACTTTTTTTTTTTTTAAAAGATTTGATCGATCATTTAATTCGTGTATTTAAATTATCAAAAAGGTATAATATGTATTGATTTTGATAATATGACTAGATTATTATAGTTCGAAGATAATTTCAGCATTTTTCTAAGTTTATCACTTCGCAAATATTACTTATGTCTTGTGGTATAAATTTAAGATACTGTATATACTTCTTTTAGAAGACCACGAATTGATCCTCTAATTAATATGAAAGACTTGAAAGTATTACCTGCCTATTTATCAGGATTCGCTGCATTGTAATTTATTAGACAAGTTTCAAAAAATTTATTTAGGACAAAGTTGTATAGAAATCAATATCTAATAATCAGATTTTTATATAAGATTTTGTTTCTTTTAATATGGTTATTTTCTCTTTACATATAGGTTCTTTTTTTTTTGTCAGGTTTTTTGTGATTTTCATTTTTTTCACCGTTTATAAAGTTTTCGTGAATAATTTTAATCGAGAACATGACGAATTTAACAACTAAAGAAGATCGTTTCGAACAAAAGAAATAACATAACCAGTTAAGTTTGAAAGAAATATCATCAAATGGTCTTCCATCTCGGTCAGCTTTGGACCGCCTATTTTCGATTCAGATTTTTTTATAACTTATAGAATGTCGGAAATGGAGAGTAAGAAGACGCAGTAATCGTTTAGGCATTTTGAACAAAAATTTTACACATATTAATTTTTTTTGACGAACTTCGCTTCATTACGTTAATTATGTATGCAATTATTAAACAATTTGATATTTACGATTTTCAATTGTTTTATTAAAATTTTAATTTTATGCAATGTTTAAATGAAAATTATATTAATTTTAAAATAAAACAGAATTTTTTGATTATGAATAAGTATTTTCTGATTTTTGCGAGGTTGATTTAACATTATTAGGGAATTGAAAAAAAATAAAGAGACCACTGATTCAATACTATTAAAAATGTATATATCAGATATTTTTTTTGTTCCAATCTAGTTTGATCATACTGGCCCTCAGAATTATCTAATTTATTAAGACGCATAAAAAAGCAGAAATTGAATTATTACTGTACTTAAAAAATCATCATTTAAAATCATCCGTCTAAAGTTCATTTTCACTATTTATCATTTGATCATTGTATTAGAACAATGACGTAACGTAAAGCATTTACAGAAATCTCAGTCAAGTGATTTTGCAAAATGATGCTTATTATGAACAGGAATTCATTGCTTCGTCCTGATGCTCCAAGTTGGACAGGAATGTGACTCATTCTTCAGTGGACCACCATCTTGGCAACCAAAAAAATATTTGGACGTCGTATAGATGATTCTCGAGCGTTGGTTGCATTTTTTATATCAAATCTCGGAAGACCCGTTTTAGTTAAATCTTTTGGGACTGCCCAGCACGTTAAAGTTTTTCAGACACAGAGGTGCTCCTTTTCAATCCATTACAGGATTCGGTGACATTCATTGCAATGGTCCTATCATTCAAATCTATCAAACAAACATTCCTGCTGCTGCAATGTTTCAAGGTTGTGCTACTAATTTAATCAACGGATTCAACCTGGATCATTGGCTTTTAGAGGTACTTGCTTTTATAAAAAATAAAAAAAAAAAAAAACTATCTAAAAGAAAGATTATTATTTTTTTTTTTTTATGAAAAAGCCATAGAATTAACAAAGTTGATAACGTGAAAATTTATATTGTAGTGTGTTTAAAAATTACCTTGTTTAGAAGAATTATGCTTCCAAACAAAACGAATAACGTTATAAACCATAATTCAAACTTTAAATTAATAATGCGTATATTTACGAAGGACGGATTCTTTTTGTTATATTGTAAATGCCTCAAGAATAATTTCTTTAACTGTGGCGATGTTAAGGTTATGAAAAGATTTCAACGTTAAATACAGTCCGCGACATAAATATCCGGAATTTATCGCGACAAATAAAAAAATTGTAAATCTTATTTTATTCGTTTCATATTTATACTATTCGTAGATTATAATATACAGATTAACAATATAAAAAAAATTAATAATTAATTGAAAGCCCTTTTTTTTCTATAACTTCATTAATCCGACCCGACATACTATCAGCCAAATTAAAGAAAACATTTTGATCAATACTGTCCCATTCCTGCCGAATTATGCCCTGA